GATCTTCGTGAGAAATTCTTGGCTGGAGTTGCTAATTTGGCATCAGTTTGTTTGGCTATTGGTTATCCAACAATTGCCAGTGCACCGCACAGCATTGCCAATGGTTTCAAGAACTTATTGGCTATTGCTGCTGTGACTGAAGTTGAATTCGCTGAAGCCAAGACCATCAAGGAATACATCAAGGTATATTATCGAAAATTATTGTTTTTGTTACTTTTTTCTATTTGATTATAATAATTTTTAGATGATAATTTTTTTTTTTTCATAATGATGAAAGCATAACGCGTCTGAAGACCCGGTTCACAAATCAGAGCTAGAAATAGCTGAACCCACTGATTTGTCGGGCTCTCAGTTGAAAAATAGCATAAAAATGCTGTCTGAATTTAATGATTTTTTCACATATTTGCTTTATTGAAAGGAGAGGAATTTTAGTTTGATTAAAAAAGAAAATTGTTTTATATTTTTATAGGACCCAAGTAAATTCGCTGCCGCCGCTGCTCCAGTTGCTGCTGCCGCTGCCGCACCCGCAGCAGAGAAGAAGGAGGAAAAGAAAGAAGAGTCGGAATCAGAAGATGACGACATGGGATTCGGTCTTTTTGACTAAATTTGTAAGTTAATTTGGTCATTAAAGGGTCAATCCATTATATTTCGAATGAAGTCGTCGCTGACTAATTTTTAAAAATTATAATACTTTGCAGGAATGATTTTGAAGTTATCAAGATCACGAAATGAAAAGAATTTTATTAAAATTTTAATTATTTATTGCAAAATATGAATTTAAAGTATATGAGGTGCTGAAAACTGTCAATTTTTTAGCCATTAGAAAATATGCAAAAATACGTAGAATTTACCATAAAATAAAAAATTTTTTTTGTAATTTACTAAGAATGAATAAATTTATCATTATCAATTGATGTAATTATTTAAATATGTGAAATAATATATAAAATATGATTTTCAAGTTCGCCTGTCAAATAACCTAAATTTGCAAATTTCATCTATTAAATGTGAGAAAGAGAAGTCATTAAATTGAAAAAAACATTACCAAATATAAAGTACCTGTGACTAACTTTTAGTTTTTCTTAGCACTTTTTTCCTTTTTTCTTAATAAATGTGAAATAAAAAGCAATAAAAATTGGCACTTTGCTTATTTTCACTATTTTCAAATGTAAATAACTTTCTTGGAGAGAACTGAAAAATTACAAAACTTGGGCAATATCTAATTGATCACTAACTACACATACTGGAAAAAAATTCGCTTTGGTCCCGAAGATACTTTTTGAGATAATTATGTTTAAATTTTTCACAATTTTTATCAGGTTAATACATGTAGTTTTTTAAGGACGAAGTTAGGTTTTATTGGTTAAACATTTTGAACTAACTTCAATTTTATAAAAATCACATGTATTAACCTGATAAAAATTGTGAAAAATTTAAACATAATTATCTCAAAAAGTATCTTCGGGACCAAAGCGAATTTTTTTCCAGTATGTGTAGTTAGTGATCAATTAGATATTGCCCAAGTTTTGTAATTTTTCAGTTCTCTCCAAGAAAGTTATTTACATTTGAAAATAGTGAAAATAAGCCAAGTGCCAATTTTTATTGCTTTTTATTTCACATTTATGAAGAAAAAAGGAAAAAAGTGCTAAGAAAAACTAAAAGTTAGTCACAGGTACTTTATATTTGGTAAGGTTTTTTTCAATTTAATGACTTCTCTTTCTCACACTTAATAGATGAAATTTGCAAATTTAGGTTATTTGACAGGCGAACTTGAAAATCATATTTTATATATTATTTCACATATTTAAATAATTACATCAATTGATAATGATAAATTTATTCATTCTTAGTAAATTACAAAAAAAATTTTTTATTTTTATGGTGAATTCTACGTATTTTTGCATATTTTCTAATGGCTAAAAAATTGACAGTTTTCAGCACCTCATATACTTTAAATTCATATTTTGCAATAAATAATTAAAATTTTAATAAAATTCTTTTCATTTCGTGATCTTGATAACTTCAAAATCATTCCTGCAAAGTATTATAATTTTTAAAAATTAGTCAGCGACGACTTCAGTCGAAATATAATGGATTGACCCTAAAAAAAAAAAAAAAATACATAAATTATTTTACAATCTAAAAAAATATTTTTAACTTATTTTTTTTTAATTATAGGAGCTGAAAATTAATTTTTTCTCCGAAATGTTTTTTAAAGCTTTTTAGACAAGTATTTTTTTTTTTTTATCTGAAAAAATTTATTTCACGAAATTACAACGAATTTAATTTTCCAAGTCGGAATAGTCGTTTATCTTAAAATTAGGGGAAAAAAAAAATTTTGGAAATATTCGGTCAATAATTTTAATATTTTTTGAAAAAATCCAAACAATTTGTTACAATATGGATTATTATTATATAATTTCAAATATGAATAGAATTATTCCATATTTTGAAATTTTTCTTTAACCTTTATAAAGAATTTTTCATTTTATTTGAATTTTATAAATAATAAATTCTATTGATCGAATGTTACTGAAAATTATTTTTAAAAAAATATTAAACGTAAAAGTGACAAATTTTTGTTATATTTAATATTTTTTTTTTTAAAGAAATTATTTTCAACAAAATAATGTAGAACAACATTTTTAGTTTGAGTTTATGTTCTGGTATGTGTCTGAAGTTTCGAACGTTCAAATGAACGAAATAATTTTTTTGGTTTATAAATTTTTTAAAAATTAATACAACAACGAAAAATAAAAAAGTATATTAAACATTTAATAAATTATGAATGTATTTTTGAGTACAGAAAGCAATATTTTAGAATAAAATTTGAAATTAAAAAAGTAGTAAATAAATTTTTTGTTCATTTGAACGTTCAGAACTTCAGGGACATGTTCTGATTAAATTAAGAAAGCAATTTAATAATTCTAATTTTAGAAACTTTTATTTAATGCTTTTAATATGATTATAATGATGAAAATATAACGCGTCTAAAGACCCGATCCACGTGTCAGAGCTAGAAATAGCTGAACCCACTGATACGTCGGGCTCTCAGTTGAAATAGAGCATAAAAATGCTGTCTGAATTTAAAATTAATAAAACACAAATATTTTTAATAATTTTATGAAATTAAACGGGAAATATTATTTTTCTGTTGCAGAAAACAATGACTGTATTTTGCTGTTAATGTTCTTAACCGACGTCCAAATAAAGTACAGTTGTGATGATAATTCATGTTTTTTCACTCAATCCAATTCCTTTTTTATTATTTTTAAGTAGGTACATATATATATATATATTAAGTAAAGTGAAATTTTACAATAAATTACATTTCTCAAGTTACTTTAATTTAAAATTAATAATTTCAAGACTTGAAATAATTCTAAATTATTAATTTGCTTCTTTAAATGTTAAAGTAAAGCAAATTTTTTATTTCTTTTAATAATTCAAATTGTTGATAGGAACCAATTTATTTCTGAATTTTTTTTTTAGGATCTAAAATTATTAGTTTTTTATTATTTAGAAATGAAAAAAAGAAAAAAACTTTAAAATTGACGATAAAAAATAAATATTAGAAATTATTTTATTATTGGAATGGATTTTTTTCCATGATTTTAATTAATTGAAATTATGATCAATTTTATTTTTTAAAAAAATAAAAGTGGAACAAAAATTCATACTGTTTTGAAATTCCATAAATACTGTAAATTCTGGTATTGATGAAAGATTTTTTAAATCTTTGAAAGGGTTAAATTATTATTAGTAAAATAATTTAAATTAGTAATTTTTGAAGCAAAGTGTTTCTTGGTAAATTTACATACCGTCGATAGGGGTAATTATGGAACGCGTAATTCTTTTTTATGTAAAATTTTTTTAATAGTAAATTGTTACAAAGTAACTTAAATGTTTCTATTTTTATACTGACAAAGAAAATATGTTATACTTGCTATTGTTATTTTTAAAAATAATTTGTTCCGTACTACGAGACAATTATGGAACCATGTTTAAGTTTAAATAGCTCTGTCAAAAAATTAATTTTTTTTTAATGAAACTTTGAGGAAACCTTCGGAAGAATTTTTGCAATATATTTGAATAATTAAAAAAAAAAATTTAATAATTAGATTTTTGGTGAAGAAAAAAAATCGCGTTTTTAGTTCTGTAATTTCCCCGGTTGACGGTAATATATTTTTTTTCAAAAAAAAAAAAAAAAAAAAAAAAAAAAAAGCTCCGTTAACCTTGAGAAATTAAAGTCTTTAAAGTGTAGCTGCATGAATTTACTTGAAAACCAGTTTTTGAAAATTATAGGTTTGGGTGACAAAAAATTCCGCTTAGTCATCATAAAATTATTCGTTTCATTGTAAAGCAATTAATATAACAAACTCTTAATTTAAACCATAAAGAAAAAAAAAAGAAGTAAACATAATTTCATATATACATAATATTAGTATATAACACAAAAGATCATTGAAAATTTTGCCTTATCATTAGAAAAAATCGATTTTTATGAAACGAAACTACGCAAGGATAATCAATAAAAGATAAATCATTTTTCTTTCGCATGAACGCTATTTATATACAAAAAAAAAAGAAAAAAAAATGTTTATCACTAAGTAAAAAGAAGAAAATTTAGATAAAAACTAAGATTTTTGATTTTTTTTACCGTGCTTATAAAAAATATTTAAAAAATTAATTTTTTAATAAATAATTTTAATTATTGTGAAATAAATTAAATATAATACATTTGCAATATTCAATATATATTTTTAATAATTAAAATTTGAAAAAAAAATTTTTTTTTTGGTGTAACAATTTTTCAAATGAAATATTTTGAAAAAATTCTTATCTGATAATCTATAAAATATTTTGATTATTTAAATGAAGACAAAAGAGAGATCGTTTCATTATTTAAGACTATATAGAGTTGAATTCATGCACCTTTTAGAAATTCTTAAAGAGCCGCTCCTGTTTTTTTACTGTCGAACGTCTCATATAGAAATTAGTCTGCTCTTATACCATTCACAACATTGGTAACCGCAATACTCGAAAGTACAATTACACTGGAATTTTTCAATTTACATCATTATATTTGTCTTTAATTAGAAAAGATATATAATTGAAATTTGATAATTGTTGACACATTTAATATTGTGTCAATTTTATCATTATAAATTGTTATTGTTGAAAAAGTATATAAATATCAAGAGAATATAAATTTACATTGTGAAAAATTCAAGGAAATTCTACACGAAAATCTCAGTGAAAGGTAAATAAAAATATTATATTAAAAGATAAAAATTTATTTTAGTGTTAATTATTTTGATTTTTTTTTCTTTTTTTTTTCTTATTGCTTATTGAATTTTTTTTTTTTTTTCTATATTTTCTTTTTGTCTGTCTATATTGCAGTTATATTCTCGCATGTTCATCGAAAAAAATAATTGGATTCGATCGGATCGGATCGTTTTAGCAAGAATTTTACTTGTCTGCGGTAAAATTGAAATAATTTTGTGAAAAATAATATATAATGGGCCTACTGTCTGAGGGTAGTCCACTCAGCTGGGAAGAAACAAAAAATCTTGCTGATCACGTGAGAAAGCATGGAGTTATTCAATTTATTAACCTATACAAAAGACTTCGCGATAGACAAGGTGACGTTCTCAAATGGGGTGATGAGGTAATATTGCATAAACAAAATATGACTTGTATTTTCTTTTTTTTTTTTTTCCTTTTATTACCATCTCTTATTGTATACTTGTTAACATTTTCCTAGAACTTCCTTTTTTTTCGCACCACTTAAATCCTTTTTTTTTATTTTGCATATTTCTGAAACTGCTGATTAAAAAATTAAAAATGAATTGTCATAATTATTTTAAATTTATTTTTAAATTTTACAGATTTTTATTTAATTAAATTAATTTTTTTTAAAGTTATTTTATTATTACTTTCTACTTATTATTTATTTTTAATTTCTACCTTAGCGATTTGTTATTTTGATTTAAAAAAAAAAATATATATATAAAAATAACACCAATAACTAATAGAAAATTGAAATTTTATTCTTTGTTTATTACAATAATAAAATTTAAAATCAAAATTATTTATTGTGTATTACTCAGTAGTAAAGAGATGATTCAATTAAAAAATTATGTTGATAATTAAAAACGATAAGATAAGAGTTTAAAATGAGAATAAATAAAATCGATTTCTTTTACAGTCATAAAAGTTTATCAAATTGGCATAGGTAATATGATATATCATATATATATATATATATATATATATATATATACAAGGGGCTATAAAAATCTATTGACTATTCGTTTAACGCTGTTGGTGCGGCTGTTATAAGTGTTTGAACATAGTAAAGAATTTGAAACAAAGATTGATATTAATGTCAATCCCCAATAAAAATTTCATTATTGCTGACTCATAAGCTTTACATTCCTTTTTACTTAAATATTAAAAGATCAACTATGACCATTAATTAGAGTACAATTGAATGGACTTAACAATAACAATATAGCGACACAGCAATCGATTTTCAAACTCTTTCATATACATAACTTGAGTTTAACTTTACAGTTAAAATTGAAAAAAAAATTATTTATTTATTTATTTTTTTTTTTATTCAAGGTCGAGTATATTTTAGTGAAATTCGATGATGAAGCAAAAACAGCAAAAGTTTCATTACGAGCACAAGAAGTACTTGATCAACTTACTGAAGAAGAGCGAAAAAATCCAAAGTAAGTTTTTTTTGTATACAATTAAAAAGAATTGTAATTAGAAATTTTAGAATTAATTTTTTAAACAAAAGTCTTAAATTTTTGAAAAATATCAATATTTTTCACAATAATCATTGACTTTTTATCTAAGGCAAATTTAATTTAATTCTGATAAATAATTTTATTAAATAAGTTTTCAACAATTCTTTGCGATTTTTGGTCAAATTTCAATTATAGCACAATTGATAAGTTTTTTTTTTTTTTACATATTGAAAGACAAAAACGTTTCTCTGTTAAAAAAAAAAAATAATTAACTCAATTCAAATTTCAGAGATTCTCACAATTATTTTTTGAACAAACTAAAAAAAATTTATTTTAAATATTATCCTTTTCTAAAAAAAATACTCTCAATATAAATTGAACTATTTTAAACATTGAGAATATAAAATCTCAATAAAGGGCCGAAACGTATTTTAAAATTGGAAATGTACAGGTGAAGCTGCAGATGCTACATTGAAAAAATGAGCACTAATGTATAAATTTTTGTGTTCTATAAATCTAATTTGTTGAAAATGCAAACCTTAAGAATGAAAATTAAAATTTAGTCAAATACATTAAATTCCAAAAAATAATGAACAAAAATGTGTTGTACGGATAATAAATAATTATTATTTTTCATTTACAAAAGTTTATGATTAATACAGTTCTTAATTCGTATATAATTATTTTAAAAAATTTTTTAAATGTACAAAAAAAATTCATTTACCTATTTAAAAAATTTAGGTTTATTGTAAAATTTAATATTTTTAAATTTAATAACTTTTATAATACAATTTTTTATAAATTATTTTCTCTAAATTAAGACGTTCCCTCCTTTTTTTTGTCTATTTTGTACATAGGAAAAAGAGTTTTGTTTAAAAAAAAAAAAAAAAAAATTTTAACACTTTCTAAGTTAAGAAACAATGTTAAACCGATTTCGCGGTCATAATCGCAAGACGATAATTTCACCATTTTTTTTACATTCAATAAAAATAATTGAAGTTACAAAATTTATAATATAATTTAATTTATAATAAAAATTGAAAAAAAAATTGAATTTACATAAAAATTATTGAGTTTATAAAAAAATTTTAATTTTAAACAAAATTAAATTTAAGATAATAATAATTGAATAATTGATATTTGAAAATATGTAATTAAATGTAAACAAAACATTGAATTTTTAAATAAGTGAATTTTATTGCTAATAAATTTATAGCGTTAATTAGTTTTTAAATTTTGTAAAAAAAATTTATTGATTTTATTTTTATTTTATTTATTTATTTTGTTAAAAAAAGAAGATAAATTATTTAAAAATGTTGTTTTAATTTTAAAAGTTAATTAATATAATTATAAATATTAGTTACATGATAAATTCTTTAATTTATTTTAAAATTAAATTTAAAGTTTGAATTTAAAAAAAAATTTTGTTTTATTTGAAAATTGGGCGATTGTCTTATTCCAAGGATTTCTCAAACATTGTTGAAAATTTAATTCTTAATTTTCTTGAAGCACATTATTATATAGCTAGAGCACCTTATTTGATTTTATGTTCAAATAAAATGGTTTTCCTTGCCCAAAAAGTTTTTTTTTCGTATTTAATTTTACTTTTCTTTATTTTTCTGTATTTAAAAAAAATCTAGAAAATTTTTTTTTTTATAAAGCGGAAAGAAATCAGGAGAAAATCTTAAATTTTATTCACAATTTTTAATCTGAACACCTTGAAAAATTAATTTTAGTTAATGTTTCAAATTTTTTGAATAAAAATAAACAATGTAAAGAGAATCTTTTGTATTTTATGAATTTTTAACAAATTTGTATTATTAAGATTCATATTTTTGTATTGAATAATTTTTTGAAATTTTTCTTTAGCAAAGTCAAATCTCTTTGGCGGCCAGAATATGGAGCTTATATGATTGAAGGAACTCCAGGAAAACCTTATGGAGGACTGCTAGCACATTTTAATGTCGTCGAGGCAAATATGCAGTACAGAAGGCAAGAAGCAGCAAAATTACTTCTACCCGGCGAGGTTTTAATGAAAATAACAAACTTCCCCAGGTTCGATTTTTTATATTATTCATTATATTCTTTAGTTATGCTAATATCATCATTACATAATTTACCTATTTCTCTTCTTTTTGAATTTCACTAAATTTCTTAAATTATTATTTTATTGAAATTAAATTTTTCAATTACACTATAGATTGGGCTCACCTGATTTCACTGATCCACCTGCACAACCAACACCTAATTCAGGAGCATCAAGAAGCTTATTTTTCCCCGATGAAGCAATTTTTGGTGGTCATCCACGATTTAAAACTCTCACAAGAAATATTCGTCATAGAAGAGGAGAAAAAGTTGCTATTAACATTCCGAGTAATTATAATTTTTACAAGAGATGAAAAAATAAAGTTAACCAATTTTTATTAAATTAAAAAATTTGAAATTATTTTCAGTTTACAAGGATGAAAATGTTCCTACGCCATTTAAGGAAAATTTAGCTGCATTAGGCGATGATGGTTCAAGTGAGAAAGCAGCAAAAGAAGATCACATTTACATGGATGCTATGGGATTTGGAATGGGCTGTTGTTGTTTACAATTAACATTTCAAGCTTGTAACATTCAAGAAGCTCGAACATTATATGATCAACTTACTCCACTTTGTCCCATTATGGTAAGAAAACAAAAATATCTCAATATTACTTAAAAATAATTAATTAAATGAAAAATTAATTAATAAAATAATAATGAAATTTTTAATTAGAAGAAAACTAACTGAATTTAGGAAATATTTTTCTTAACTTTATAAATTTGAAGAGAATGAAATAAATGTTGAATGATTTTCAGTTGGCATTAACTGCAGCGTCGCCGTTTTATCGCGGTTACATAACGGAAGTGGATTCAAGATGGAATGTAATATCCTGCTCCGTTGATTGTCGTACCCAAGAAGAACGTGGATTTAAATCGTTGAAGGAGAATAAATTTAGAATTAGTAAATCCCGATACGATTCCATTGATTCTTATCTTAGTGAACAGGGGGAAAATTATAATGATGTGCCTTTAACTTATGACAACGAGATTTACAAGCAATTATTGGAAAATGGAATCGACAAATTACTTGCACAACACGTAGCACATTTATTTATTAGAGACACGGTTTCTCTTTTTTCAGAAAAAGTCTATCAAAATGATTTAGAAGACACCGATCACTTTGAGGTGAGATATAATAATCTATTTTAAAATTTTTTAAATAAAATTATTACATTATCAATAAATTGTGATAATTGCAGAATATTCAGTCGACAAATTGGCAAACGATGCGTTTTAAACCGCCACCGCCAAATTCTTCAATTGGATGGAGAGTTGAATTTCGACCATGTGAAGTGCAAATAACTGATTTTGAAAATGCAGCTATTGTTTGTTTTGTTGTACTCTTGACGAGAGTGATTTTAAGTTACAAACTCAATTTATTGATTCCAATTAGTAAAGTCGATGAGAATATGATTAAAGCGCAAAAAAGAGACGCTGTGAAAAATGAGAAATTTTGGTTCCGTCGTGATATTGTTTCGAGTAAACAAGATGAAAACAATAAAGAAGAGTACACAGAATTTACAATCAATGAAATTATCAATGGAAAAGTTAGTTTCTTTTCTATTCACAAATATTATTTCTTATAATAATAATAAATTTTTCATTATTAGAATTATTCTTACCAAAAAGAAATGTTAATTAGCAATTTTTAAGAAAAAAATTTATTGAAATTTTTTATTTATAGGAGGGAATATTTCCTGGATTGATTCCTTTGGTAAATTCTTATCTCGCGAGTATGGATACGGATGCTGACACACATTGTACAGTTCAAAGATACTTGAAATTGATACAAAGGCGAGCTTCTGGAGAGCTTTTAACCACTGCTGCCTGGCTTCGAAAAGAAGTCACCACTCATCCCGAGTATAAGTTAGTATTTTAAATTTCTTTTAACTCTTTCGGGATTATCTTTTTTCTTAAAAAAAAAAAAAAAAACTAAATTTTATATATTTTTAAACAAATTTCTCTGGAAAACTAATGAACTAAAGTTTCTTGTCCCCGATGATAAAGTGTTCAGGCCTAAAATTATACGATTTTTTTCGAGTTTTTCCTAATTATTTTAATAAAATGCGACTTTTTTTTATATTTCTTTGCAGATCTTCTTTATTTCAATTATTTAACAAATTTTTAACTAAAAAATTCTTCACTAAATTATTTTTAATAATTTTAATGAAATTCTTCACAAATTCAATTATCTTAAACTATTTTTCAATTAAAATTTTTATAAAATTTAAAAATAATTCAATGTAATTTTCCAATATTCATTTAAATAAGAAATTAATAATAAAATATATGAAATTTAATAATTGTTTATAATTTGAAAAAAAATTAACAAGTAAAATTACAAAAAAAAATTTAATTCATAATCACTTGAAATTTAATTATTTGCAAAATTTTCAATTATTTTCAATGATTTTTTATAATATTCTTTGAAAATTCAATTATCTGAAACTATTTTTCAATTAAAAACTTTTGGAATTCAATTTTTTTTTATGTGATTTCTAATAAAATTATTCATCAAGAGAAATCACTAGAAATTTCTCTGATTATAATATTATTGTCTGAAATTTAACACAATCTTTTGAAATTCAATTATTTTCAAAAATTTCATTTTTGCAGTTAAAAATCGAAAATTTACCCTAATTTTAAGGATTATAATTATAATAATTATTTAGTTACAATTGCATGTTCAGTTCTTTTTTTTTTTAAACTAATTCAATGTCTAATTACAGAAAAGACTCGAAAATCACTCAACTTATCAATTACGATTTGCTCAAAAAAGTGCACGACATTGAAAGCAACAAATTATCATGTCCGGAATTACTTGGACCTTGTATTACATCTAAAACCACTGAGAGTGTTCCAACGGCAGTAGCGAAAGCCGAAATGTGTTGTAATTGAGTCACGTATTAATTAGAGTAGCAAATTTTTTGAATTGTGTATAATTATTTTTAAAAAAAAATGAAATACCACAAATTGTACTTATTCAGTATATATATATATATATATATATAAATAACGAACGGGTGCTTCTTCATACTTTATTAATCTATAGTAAATTATAATTGAATCTGTAAAGAACATTCCATATTTATCAATATTTATAATTGTAAAAAGTGAAAGAGTCCCCCGTTAAAATGATTATTATTCGAAAACAGAGGTTGTTAGTGATAATTGAATTATTATTAATAAAAAAAGGTTCTTGTATTTGTAAATTAATTTTCAAATCGCTTTTCTTTTGGGAAATTTAATTTCCAAAATTGAAAAAAAAAATACTATTTTATTGTACACTTACAATTCAAATGTAGGAAGACAGTTAAAAATATATGGCAAAACTTTTATTTTGAATAGTTAATATGACGATTTAAAAGATTAATTTTTATCTCTATTGGTCCTGTAAGAAATATAAGTGTTCCACAAAAGAGCTACTGTTTGAACAACTAATACTTGATACTGTAGTGGAACAATGCCAAAATTTAATAATTGTACTGCAGGCCATAACTGAAATAATATTTTCCTAGTATTAATAAAAAAAAAAGAGTGAAAAAAATATAGTAAATAAAATTGATATTAAAATTGTTACCTTATAATTGCTAACAAGAATATCGGGATATTCATTTTTCAGTTTCAATTTAATATTATCGATTTCGTTCCCCTGTAAAATTCCAATTACTACAATTAAAGCACAAAGGAAAACAGGTGCAAAAAGTAATTGATCGAATGCAACTTTTTTTAATGTTACTATTCCCCCTTTGGAACCGATATATTTATCGAGAATTCCATACCAAGTTCTAGTAGCTGGCCCCTGAAAATAGTATAGAAAAAATCAATATTTTATTTTCGCATAATTATTCTTCTATTAAATTCTAAAGCAAGTTTTTAATTTGAATTGTTTAAAAAAAAAATTATCCTCGTAGATTTCAAAATTAAAAGTTTACCTACAGCAAGAAAAAAACCTATTCCTGCGAATCCTGCTGTACGTTTAAAATCCAAAGAATCAAATGTTCGTTTTTCAACTAAATTTTGCGCTATTTGATCTCCAAGTGCCATTAAAGTGCCTAAAAAATTTATTGATAATAAATTATTAATATTTATATAATATGTAAATAATTTTTAATAAGTAATTTAAATAAATTATTATATAAAAATAATTATTAAATCACCTGCTTGAACGGCTTGCATTCCCAGAGGAAACCGGGATAATAATTTCTGATAAACTCTTAAAATATAACTCATTTTGAAGTCTTATTTAAAAAGATTATTAAAATAATAAATAACCAAAGACATTTAATTTCTTTTTTGTATATATATGAAAATGTAACCCAAAGTTTCATCAACGTATATACATCGAGAAAGTACAGATTTGAGGTTAAAAGTTAAAACACATTAATAATAATTAACATTTATTTCTTATTATTGTAATTTACTTAAATTGTAAAATTAGCGCGATTAGAATATATATATTTATGTTCTATTTTTGATAAACACATGTCACAATGTGCTCCAGGTTGACGTTTCACCAATGAGATTTGTATATCGTCTGCTTTGTTTATAGAAACAATTTTTCAAATGAATGGAAATTTTAATGGACAAGTTATTCTTAACAATCACCTACTGTCAGCCAATCACAATGAATTTAGTTCAATATATAAAGTAGTTTTCTAATTTTGATATAAAAACAGTAAATTCTTCTACTATATTTCGAATGTAAATTATAAAATTATTTAATATTAAAAAATAGTTTTAATGCTGAAGTTTCAAATAATTATTTACAATTTGATTGGCGATCGTTATGAATGAATTGAGGTTATGTTTATGTTAGAAAAATGGATCAAACAGATCAAGTTTGTATAATCATTTTATATAAAAACTAGAATATTTGTGAATACAACATTGAATAATACTTATCGTTATTAATTAATTAGAATTACATTTGAATTTTTTTTTATGACAGTTTTTCTATTGCCGCGGGTCATGTCAGTGACGTCTGTTTACGTTACCATGGAAATAAATTTACATTTAATATATGCAATTTTTAAATATTTTTTTTTATTTCATAAATGAACAGAAAATTAAGAAATTCTATTTTTTAGAATGATTTTGGCGATTTACAAAAGAAAGAACGATTTAAGAATTTAGGAAAAGGTTTGAAAGCAAATGAAAATAAACAAACAATTATTCGATGGTTCAATTGTTTCAGTATAAATGAAAGTCCATCAGATTTAAATTACACATCATCGCATGTATCAAAAGCAACGTTAAGACGTGTAAAAAAAAGTTTTCTAAAACAAATACAAATGATAAGGCAATTAATGACACCACCTAGTTTTTTATGCGATTCAAAATAAAAGATTTGCATCCGCTGATTCTCAACAAAAACGAGTTAAATTTCATCGACAATCAACTAACGAAAATAATTATTTTTCTCGAGAAAAATAAATTCTCATAGATTGTAATCATATATAACAATTTTTCGGAACATTTTTCCTTCGATTCAGATATGGAAAAAGAGAAAATTGTCGAACGACATTTTTATCAATGGAGAGTCTTTCTCAATGATAGGGGAGAATTATTGATTAAAGGATCACTCAATAAGTAAATAAATTTTTATTATTTAATATTGGAAAAAAAAATTTTTTTTTTTAATTAATTTATTATTTTAGTGAAATATGGTCTCGGAGTAAACCAGTTGCAGAAATGTTGTCATCAAAAAAACTTAAATCAAAATATCAACACATTTATCATCTTCATGGATGTATTATCGACGAAAAGAATGGTGATTTTTTTTATTTTTCATTTTAGTAATTCAAAAAAAAAAAAAAATGTAATTTTGAGGAAACATTTTAAAAAAATATATATTTCTTTTCAGAATTACCAAAATATATTTATCAAAAATTCTATAACGGTTTTCCTGACGATTGGCGTAACGTTCATGCAATATGGAAAAATTACATTGCTCAAGGAAGCAAAGAAAATTTTCACTGGCTAATGAACGTTAATTATATCAATCACAATAGTGAAATAACAGATAATAAACAAATGCAAAAAAGAGAGAAGAAATTTCAAGAATTAAATTTCATGGAGAAATCAACATCACAACAATCATCTGATTATAATTCTGATTTTCAACACGAGGGAAATAAAAAAATTGTCGAAAATCATCGAAATAATATAAAAATGAAAAAAAATCAATCAATTCAAATAAATAGTGATTCCCAACAATTTAGCGAAAAAGAAAATAAAAATTTACATGAAAATCAAAATCAATTTAATGTCACTGCCGATCGTTCATATTCTGGTAATTTGTACACGGCATTAAATTATGCTCTAATATTAAAAGATATTATTTTCCAAGATAAACTTACAATTATCACACAAAATTTATTACATGAAAAATGTCCCAAAAAATATGTTCAACGTGTTAGTAAAACAATTGAGTATTTAAATAATATTATTTCTGTAAAAATTGACGAATTAGATGAAAGTGAATTAAAATATGATCAACCATCTAATTTAAAGAGAAAATGTTCAACATCCTTTTCTTTATCAACAATCAATGCTGTCGACAGTAATGAAAAAAATGATTCCAACGAAATTAATAAAAAATTAATGAGACAAATAACAATCGATAAAATTGTACAAAGAAATAGTGAAAATAAAATTAATGAGAAATTGATGAAAAAACCAAAAATTAACAATGAAAAATCGATAAATTTGAAATTTGATAAAAATTCTGAAAGCAACGAAATGAAAGAAACAAATTCAGGAAGTGAAATATATGCCGGTATGCCTAAAATATTGGAGAAAATATTAAAGTCAAAAATTTATCAGAAACAATACAGAAGACATGATACTAATGAAAAAAATAGAACACAAAATAAAAGTCAAAATCGTAAAAAAGATTTACTCAATGATTCAAGTTTCAATGATGAAATTAATAAAATTTCATCAGATAATGATCGAATATTACGAATAGATTCAAAACCAAAGGAACATCTTCCTAAAACAAAAATCATTGATGATTTTTTAATCGAAAGAAGAATAGATTTACTCAAGGAAAATCGATGCATTATCAATGATAATGAAAGTTCAACTAAAATTTCCATTTTCTCTGAATTACCATCAAATACAATACAAAATAATGAGAATAGAAAATCAACAATTATCAATAAGAAAAATATTAATGACAATAATAATGAATTTACGGATATTTTTCAACAGAAGAAAATTAATGCTGTACAACAACAAAATTTGCCAGCAAATGATTTAAATAAAGATAAATTACAACAAAAGCCAAGAATTATTAACACAGAAATAGTAAATTTCTCTAATTTCAGGAAATCTCTTAATCATTTTTCAAGCAGTAAACAAAAAGTAGATCAATCTAGTAAAGCAACGAATTCACAAATAATTGATCAAAATTTAGAGGAGAAAATTCGAATCAAGATTCATTTGGTTCACAGGAGAATCCAAAATTCTTAAAAAATTGGAATCCACTTGTCACATTTGGTGGGAAAAAATGTTATCTCACCTTCGAGGGAACTTTGTTGAAGTAAAATTTTTATTAATTATTATTAAATGACTATATTTATTTATCAATTAGAGATAATTAATAAATTATATTATTAGTTAATATTAAAATTTAGAAAACTTTTAGAACGGCTGGCCAACTAATGAAAAAGAAATTCACCACGAGTCAAATTATAAAAAGAATTTCATCTTTTGTTATCAAGACTGCAGATTATAAATTTTATAAATTAGTTGGAGAGATAAATATTAAAAAACATGGTAAGGAAAAAAAATAATTAGAATTTTTTTTTTTTTTTTTAACTTATAATTTATTAATTATTAGTAATTATTTTGTTTTAGTTGTGCCTAAAGAACTTTTGCCTCAATGCAGAACCGGTTGTCCAGTAAATATTGATGAGTTCTGTGCAACTTGGTTGAAACTAAAAGGAGGTAAAAATATTTATTATTATTATTATTATTAATTAATTTTTTAATTTTAATTAATAAAAATATTTTTTTTTCTAGATCAATTATTTTAATTTAAATTAATATTTTGTAAAGGATAAATTTACAATAATTTAATTTTTTTTTTTTTTCTTTAAAATCTACCTTTTTCTATTTTTTTTTCTTTTAATTTTAATTTATTTCATTTAAAAAATCATAAAATGGTAATTATAAAAATGATTTTTTTTTTCCAAAGACGATGAACGAGTTATAATGAAAGACGGAGATACTGTTTTTAAATCAGGCAATCTTAAGGAAAAATTTGTAACTTCAATGGTTGGTAGTCCCAGTAAATGTCGGGTGAATTTAAAAATTCTTTAAAAATTACGATTATTCAATACATACGTTTGAAAAAAAATATTTCTTATTAAACGATCGATGATCAATTCTCTTTTTTACCTTTATTTCTTTTTTTTTTCTTTTTATACAGAAAGTCAAAATTTAGGTCTAAAAAAAATTATCCCAAACAAAAGTTTATTTCACAACAAAAGACAAAAGAAACATTAATTTTAGTTTTTGTTCCTATTAATGATTAAAATATATTGTACTTACAGAAATCACCGGAAAAAGTTGTAACTACTAATGAAACAGAGAAAGATGTTTTAAATTTAGCAAATGATCGAAACGCTAAAAATAAAGTCGCGCGAAAATTAAAATTTGAATCAGACGAAAGCAAAGATGAAAAAACGAAAACTATTGTACGTTGAATAATTTAATTATTGTTTTAATTTGAATAAAATAATTACTGTATTCTTTTTTTTTTACAGAATACTCGCAGATCTCATTTGTATGCATTAAGGAAACGACGAAGAATTATCTATACTGATAATGATAATGATGTTAATGATGGTGAAAATTTCCCTGGGAAAATTAAAAATGGAACAGAAGAACCTAAATAATTGTAAGCTTTTTTTTTTTTAAATCCTTATGTATATTCTGCAAAAAAATTTAATTAATTATTTATTAATTAAAATATCTAAATATTTCATGTAAAAAGAATTTTAATTTTTAAAATATCTATTTTTTTAAATGGATAAAGGCAAAAAGTGAGAAATACAGTTCCTATGATTCATTCGACTCATAAAAAAAATACACGAGATGTAAATATAACATTATTATCAGATGATATGATGTCGGTTACTTGAAAATTTATGAATATTTCAATTACAGAAATATATATTCATATATTCGTTTTAAAAATGTTGAATTATTATTTAATATAAAATATTTTGTAAACTATATTTACGTACATAAAATTTATCGTTTATCAATTTATATATTAATATATTATTATTTATATATTAATTTATATATTAATAAAATATGAAATAAAAAATATTTATGTATAAAAAAAAGAAAAATTGTAATTATTTACATATTTGTAATAGAATGTTAAAAAATAAATCAAAATATTTTTTGTCTATAAAAGATTATGTTAAATTAATAATAACTATACTATATTAAATTGAAAAATTTAATGATTGTATATTTACTATACTATATTTTATAGTAATTGAAAAGAAACATTAATATGTATAAAAAGACAAATTTGATTTATAAATAATTAGCTTTTTTTGTTTGTCACAAGACTTTAAAAAAAAATTATTATCGATTCCAGTTGAATTAAATCAGAAAAAAATCTAAACACAAAAATAAAACAAATTTGTCTTTAATGCAATAATCGTCTTGAAAAAAAATTAAATTAAAATGTTGATTAGTTTTTTAATCATTAATGTTATGTGGGAACCTCCCACGTGACCTAGTATGGGAAAATGTGTTTTGGTAGTATACGTTTCACTCTAAAATGAGAAAAGATTTTTGTCTAAAATTTTGAGGGATGATAGATTAGGGTACAAGGAATCTCGCTGTTCTCCGAAAAATACATAATTTTGAGTAAAATTATTAAAAAATGAAGTTTAAAAAGTGGCATTTTTAAACGAAAATGAAAACAAAAATGGCGGCGCATACACAGACGTTGCTTGAAGTGTGTCAGTGCTCCAGCAAACAGCGCCAATTCGAGCGAATGGCCGCTGAATGAACTATGATATAATACATTATTTTACTATTCATTGCTTTATTTTTATTATTTTTGCGTTAAGTTATGGTAAATGAGTAGAACAGCGAGATTCCTTGTACCAAACAAAATCATTTCTCCAAAATTTTAACCCAAAATCATTTTTTATTTCAGAGTAAATTTCAAACCACAAAAAAACGTCCTTTGCCCACATACCCTTAATACGTATATTGAAAAATTCAAAAAAAAAAAAATTGTTATACATACTCAAAAATTGAATATCAAAATATTATTAAAATATTTAAATAAATAGTAATAAAACTTTCTTTAAGATTCTTATTTTTTTGATTGTGGAATAAGAAAAAGGTCTATTTTTCCATTAGTCGGCAATCTGAGATGGAATCTTTTTCCCCAAAGTTAAAAAGTCGAAAGTGCATTATGGCGAATTTACAAACGCCGAATATCAAAAAGAGCTAAAGTTAATTTGAAAAAACATTAAATTGGACGAAAAGTATTTTTGACGAATATGAAGGAGCTTCTACAACAACTTGCATCGGTACTTGTATCTGTACTTACTTTGCATTTGCTACTGCATGTGCGCATCAATTTTCAGTTATCGAATATTAAATTAATTAATGAATTACTAATTAATTACATGTAATTAATTAGTAATCCTATTATATATTAAATTAAATAATTAATTACTAATTAATAGCATTTAATTAATTAGTAATTAATTAATTAATTCTATATTCGATATCTGGTAATTGATGTGCGCGCTCACATACAAGATCAAATGCAAAGCAAGTGCAGATACAAGTAATGATACAATTTGTTGTAGAAGCTCCTTCAATACAACCTAATGTTCATTTGAACGAATTGTATTATAATCGAATTTTGATTTGTCATATTATGAAATTGGACGAATGTGTATTTAGGCGAATTGTAAAATAATCGAAAGTTAAATATTTCGAAAGATAAAATAACTAAACAAGCACTCAGAAACCAGAAGTCATGGTTTCTGAGTGCTCGCATTTTCTGGTTAGACACTTAAAACTAAAAAGTATTTTTTTTACTGGATCTCTGAGGGTATTTCTACCGTCCTTTCACCTCAGAAAGGCACACAAAAATTGTGTAAAAGTTATATCTAAGAAAACAAAAAAGCAGAAATATTTTCTTCTAGTTATCAAGGAAATATGTTTGTACAAACTAAAAGTACATCTTTCACTGATTCTCTGAGGGTATTTCTACCGGGTTTTCACCTCAGAAAGGGAGAAAAATTTGTAAAATTTTAATTGAAGAAAAATAACAAATGAAAAAAAGGATACAAAAATTGAAATAATGACCTTTTACCTTAGGCGGAATTTTAATTCCCTCTCATTAACGTGTTGACGACCAAATAAAAAATAATCTTCCGTAGTTATAACACATTCTAACTAGCTCTGTTTAATATATCTGATTCCATTATCTTTTTGATTTTGATGTTGACATAATTTTTAACATGTCAATTCTCGATACTTGAATTACTCCCTGATAAAATTTAGTATATTAGACACCTGTTTTCCAATTTTTTATTATTTGTGCTGCATTATTGTTAAAATAACTTCAATTTACATTTTTGATTGTTCTTCTTCAAGGACCTGAAAAAATTTAAGAAATATTACAAACTGAATTACCAATCAACTACTTTTTGTCGTTTTGAAAGAAAAAGCGTTGTCAAAGCAAATGTATAATTTTCACCGGTTCTCTGAGAGTTTACTACCGGGTTTTCACCATAGAAACGCAGACAAAAATTTTGTACAAGCTATATCTAAGTGAAGAAGAAAGCAGGAATGTTTTGCCTTCTCGTAGGGAAACTTTGTTGTCCTTTCGTTTATAAAAATTTCAATTTTTTTCTACACTTTAGGGTGTATTTTCTGTAAGAATTTACAATAAAATCGTCTGCCTAAGAAAAAGTGATTTTTATAGAATACTTTTTACGGCTATGGTAGACTTTTTGGTTGTAACAGGGGTCTTACTCTACTCAGATCTGGGTGTCAATTTTTTTCTACACCTTTAAGTGTATTTTCTGCATGAATTTACAATAAAATCGTCTGCCTAAAAAAAAGTGATTTTTTTAGAATACTTTTTACGATTATGATTGTCTTTTTGGTGGTAATAGAGGTCTTTCTCTACACGGATCGGGCTGTCAATTTTTTTCCACACTTTTAGGTGAATTTTGTGCAAGAAATTGCAATAAAATAGTCTGCCTAAGAAAAATTGAATTTTTTTGAAAATTTTTTTTTACGAAAATCGCTTTAATGGTCATAAAATTGGTGTTCCTCTACTCGGATCGGGCTGTCAATTTTTTTCCACACTTTTAGGTGAATTTTGTGCAAGAAATTGCAATAAAATAGTCTGCCTAAGAAAAATTTAATTTTAAAAAAAATTTTTTTTTTTTCGAAAATCGCTTTAATGGTCATAAAATTGGTGTTCCTCTACTCGGATCGGGCTGTCAATTTTTTTCCACACTTTTAGGTGAATTTTGTGCAAGAAATTGCAATAAAATAGTCTGCCTAAGAAAAACTGAATTTTTTTGAAAATTTTTTTTTTTCGAAAATCGCTTTAATGGTCATAAAATTGGTGTTCCTCTACTCGGATCAAGCTGTCAATTTTTTTCCACACTTTTAGGTGTATTTTGAGCAAGAAATTGCAATAAAATAGTCTGCCTAAGAAAAATTGTATAATTGTAAAAATTTTTTTATTTACGAAAATCGCTTTAATGGTCATAAAATTGGTGTTCCTCTACTCGGATCGGGCTGTCAATTTTTTTCCACACTTTTAGGTGTATTTTGTACAAGAAATTGCAATAAAATAGTCTGCCTAAGAAAAATTGAATTTTTTTGAAAATTTTTTTTTTACGAAAATCGCTTTAATGGTCATAAAATTGGTGTTCCTCTACTCGGATCGGGCTGTCAATTTTTTTCCACACTTTCAGGTAATTTTTGTGCAAGAAATTGCAATAAAATAGTCTGCCTAAGAAAAATTGAATTTTTTTGAAAATTTTTTTTTTCGAAAATGGCTTTAATGGTCATAAAATTGGTGTTCCTCTACTCGGACCGGGCTGTCAATTTTTTTCCACACTTTTAGGTGAATTTTGTGCAAGAAATTGCAATAAAATAGTCTGCCTAAGAAAAATTAAATTTTTTTGAAAATTTTTTTTTTTCGAAAATGGCTTTAATGGTCATAAAATTGGTGTTCCTCTACTCGGATCGGGCTGTCTATTTTTTTTCACACTATTAGGTGTATTTTGTGCAAGAAATTGCAATAAAATAGTCTGCCTAAGAAAAATTGAATTTTTTTGAAAATTTTTTTTTTTCGAAAATCGCTTTAATGGTCATAAAATTGGTGTTCCTCTACTCGGATCGGGCTGTCAATTTTTTTCCACACTTTTAGGTGTATTTTGTGCAAGAAATTGCAATAAAATAGTCTGCCTAAGAAAAATTGAATTTTTTTGAAAATTTTTTTTTTCGAAAATCGCTTTAATGGTCATAAAATTGGTGTTCCTCTACTCGGATCGGGCTGTCAATTTTTTTCCACACTTTTAGGTGTATTTTGTGCAAGAAATTGCAATAAAATAGTCTGCCTAAGAAAAATTGAATTTTTTTGAAAAATTTTTTTTTACGAAAACCGCTTTAATGGTCATAAAATTGGTGTTCCTCTACTCGGATCGGACTGTCAATTTTTTTCCACACTTTTAGGTGAATTTTGTGCAAGAAATTGCAATAAAATAGTCTGCCTAAGAAAAATTGAATTTTTTTGAAAATTTTTTTTTTTCGAAAATCGCTTTAATGGTCATAAAATTGGTGTTCCTCTACTCGGATCGGGCTGTCAATTTTTTTCCACACTTTTAGGTGAATTTTGTGCAAGAAATTGCAATAAAATAGTCTGCCTAAGAAAAATTGAATTTTTTTGAAAATTTTTTTTTTTCGAAAATCGCTTTAATGGTCATAAAATTGGTGTTCCTCTACTCGGATCGGGCTGTCAATTTTTTTCCACACTTTTAGGTGAATTTTGTGCAAGAAATTGCAATAAAATAGTCTGCCTAAGAAAAATTGAATTTTTTTGAAAATTTTTTTTTTCGAAAATCGCTTTAATGGTCATAAAATTGGTGTTCCTCTACTCGGATCGGGCTGTCAATTTTTTTCCACACTTTTAGGTGTATTTTGTGCAAGAAATTGCAATAAA